ATCCACCATATAATTTTTTTGTATACAAGCAAGAAAGTGATGAAAGTATGCCTATTTGACATTTTAAATACTAATGAGGTTATATTGCTGCTTACTTCGCTTATGACATGTATGTGTGTTGGAATATATGTTCAATGCAACGACAAAGACACATCTATAGGCATACTCCCCTTGCCACCTACCCCCGCAAGTGATCTAACGAACCTCCTTAAGTACTAAGAATCGTGAAATAAAAGCAAAAAAAGACAAAGAAGAATCAATTATTTTAAAAATATGCTTTTAAAAAGAGCTCATTTAAAAGTAACGCTCGAAATCATTTGCATAATTTTGAGATTTAATGTCACTTCTACGAGACAAGTTACGCTCTTCTGATTTCAAAAGTTTGCGTTGCTCTATAATGTAATTAATTGAAATTATATATAAAATCTTGCCAAAATCTGCACCTAGAGATTAAATAATAAAGCGAATTCGATTATTCGGATGTATACGCTCGGTGTTCAAATTAGAGACGGCGACTGACATCCGACCCTCTAACCTCGGAAGTTGCGCGAAAGGAAAAAAAAAGAAAGAGAGGGGAGAGGGAAGGCCAAGACCTCGCCTCGTATCCTCGAGCCCATTTTTACGAGATACTTAAGCCTTTAAACGGGTGTATCGCTCAGGTCAAATCGGGAGAAACGGCAGGGAAAAAAAACGCGATCTCGGATTTCAAATTTCGCAGGGAAATCGGTTAACCCCCGAAATCAACTGCGACGACTCCTCGCCGGGCGACAGGGGAGGATCGCGCGATTTTTCTCAGGGATTAAATCGAGCGTGGCCCCCGGAGAGATCTAGCGTTTTTTTCCTCTTCTCTCTTTTCCCCCCTTCTCATGCCCCTCCTCGAGAAGCCGCGCGCAGGTACCTGGTGCCCCGTTACCTGCACGCGTCTATCTCGAAAAGCCCGGAAAAGCGGAAAGAGAAATATCGCAGAGGGGGGGAGAGGGTGAAAATAGCGCGAAAAAAACGGGAGATTACGCGCGGACCCTCGAGTAGGGAAAGAAATACACGCGCGAAGGGAGATATTCCGCGTGCACCTTTTCCAATTTCGTTTCTATCTCGTCTCGGCGCCTGCGGACCCTTCTCGCTCTCTTCCCTTCGGCATCCCTTAGCTTAGACCGCGAGGGGTAAGAAACAGGGGTAAAAGCGAGTTAATAGTCGGTAAAACGCCGTTCTCTCTGTGACCCGCAGGGGTTTAGGCGTGCCTTCGGGGGACTCTCCTCTTCTTCTTCTTCTTCCTTCACCTCTCTCAACCCCGCGCGAACGGGTAATTCCTCTTCTGGGGAGAGTCGAAAGGGATACGGGCAAAAGGTGGCTGCGTCGCCGGAGAGAGGAAAACCGAAACGCGAGGACACTCCTTTCGTCGAGAAATCTGAGTAATCGTTGTCGCCGGTTTCCTGCGAAAGCTGCTCTTCCGCCATGGTGATTCTCGAATTTCCGCGTGAGAACATTGGGAACAGATCAGAGAACGCGACAGCGTCACGAAGCGTACGTTGAGAAAATCGCAAATTCGAGTCGTATCGAGGGAAACGAGAGGCGAATGTAATGAAATAATAATCGATAAAATATTACTCAATCGCGCACTTTTTCAACACGATCCCGCCCGCCCGCAAGCGCGCGCGCGCGCGGTAACGGTGCCGCGTTACGTAAATTCGGTATTCCAAACAACGAAAGTGAGATTACCGGCAGGCCGATTACGGCTTCGGCTTTCTTGTTTCTCGCCAGAATCGAATTTCGAGCGCTTCGTCGTCGTCGTGTAACGAAACA